CTCTGGGGTTCAAATGATTCTCCTGCCTCAGCCTCCCGAGTACGTGGGATTACAGGTGTGTGCCACCACACCCGGCTGATTTTTTATCTTTTTGATAGAGATGGGGTTTCACCATGTTGGCCAGACTGGTGTCAAACTGCTGACCTCAAGTGATCTGCCTGCCTCAGCCTCCGAAAGTGCTGGGATTACAGGCATGAACCACCACGCCCGGCCTGAAGGCTCCATTTTTTTTAAATTAGTTTTACCATTAATTCTGCAGGATTTTCCATGTTCCATCATATCATCTACAATAGAGATAGTTTTTCATTTTCATTTCTAATTATTCTTTTAGTTATTTTTCCTTCCCTAATTGCATTAGCTCATATTTCCAGTGCAGTTGAAACAGTAGTAGCAATACTATGCATCCTTAATCCTCGCCTTATTCTTGACCTTAATCAGTTTCTCTAGTGTCTCTCCAAGCTGCTAAGACATCTGGAGAAACAGATGAAGTTTCTAATATTGAACCATGGTTGAATTCCTAGAATAAATCCTTCTTAGTTGTGCCATAGATTTTTTCTTTCAGAATTGTGGTCTCACTATGTTGCCCTGCCTGGCCTCAAACTCCTGGGCCCAAGCAATCCACCTGCCTCAGCTTCCCAAGTAGCTGGGACCACAGGTGTGTGCCACCACGCCCAGCTAAGTTGTTTGGTTTTGGTGTTTTTAGAGACAGGATCTCATTACGTCGCCCAGGCTTGTGCTATATCTTTTCAGTATGGTATGGATTCTGTTTATGAACATTTTACCCGTGATTTTTGTGTTGCAATTTATAAGGAAAATCATTTTCTGTGTTTTTATTTCCCCCCACTGCAAGACCATGGAGCGTGCTCGGTAACACCGTGTTCTGTCTCACTGACCATGAGCTTAACAAGCAGCCTCACACTGGAGGCTTTAGTTTCTTTTTTTTTTTTTTTTTGAGACGGAGTCTCGCTCTGTCACCCAGGCTGGAGTGCAGTGGCCGGATCTCAGCTCACTGCAAGCTCCCCTCCCGGGTTCACGCCATTCTCCTGCCTCAGCCTCCGAGTAGCTGGACTACAGCGCCTGCCACCTCGCCCGGCTAAGTTTTTGTATTTTTAGTAGAGACAGGTTTCACTGTTACCCAGGATGGTCTCAATCTCCTGACCTCGTGATCCGCCCGTCTCGGCCTCCCAAAGTGCTGGGATTACAGGCTTGAGCCACCGCGCCCGGCTGGAGGCTTTAGTTTCTAAGGTCCAAATGCAGTGTATAGAAGTTCCCATGAGGGGTTCCATACTGCATATTCATGAAAAAAGAATGGCTATGTGAGGACTCACCTGAACTCTTAAGGATTCCAATGCATGAGGGAAGAAGGCTGCCCTACACACTATGACATTTAATTTCTCTCAGTCTCAGTATCCTCTCCTTTTGCCCCACTCACCCTCTCACTCATCCCTAAAGTGGCCAACATAAATTTGCCACGAAATCTTTTGAAAAGTTAATTATGGTACTTTAAAAAAATTGTGGGCCGGGCACAGTGGCTCACGCCTGTAATCCCAGCTCTTTGGGAGGCCAAGGTGGGCAGATCACCTGAAGTCTGGCCAGGTTTGAGACCAGCCTGACCAACATGGTGAAACCCCGTCTCTATGAAAAATACAAAAATTAGCCAGTTGTGGTGGTGCGCGCCTGTAATCCCAGCTACTTGGGAGGCTGAGGCAGGAGACTCACTTGAACCTGGGAGGCAGAGGTTGCAGTGAGCTGAGATGACACCATTGCACCCCAGCCTGGGTGACAGAACAAGACTCCATCTCAAAAAATAAAATAAAAAATAAAAAACACTGTGGATAGTTTGGACTCACACAAAGCGAAGTTTTCTATCCCTTTAGCATATTTGCATTTAATAGAAAAGGCAGTGCCACTGGGGTCTGCTTTTTTTATTTATTTATTTTTTTTTTTAAATAGAGACAAGGTTTCACCTTGTTGCCCAGGCTGATCTCAAACTCCTGAGCTAAAGGAATCCATTGGCCTTGGCCTCCCAAAGTGCTGGGATTACAGGAGCGAGCCACCGCGCCCAGCCCAGGCCCAGTGATCCTTAAAAACTCAGAGTAATGGAGCCAGATCAAATTGCTGATAGAGTCTGCAAGTTTACAGAAAATAAACATACTGTCTTCTTCCTCAGTAGGTTCATTTCTGGAACCCAAGCTGATTTCTGTTGGAAGACTGGAGGTGTGTCGCTCTTGCTGAGAATTTGGGACCAGAGCAGGGGGTGCATGTGGATACTCACGCTCTCAAATGACAGAGAGCCAAGAAATGCATTTGAGAAATCAGGGTGGAGGGTGAAAGAGGACTCACTAGACATTATGTTAACTATGGATTCTTCTGTGCCTGGGGTAAAATATTTAACAATGAAATTGATTTTTCATGGTAAGTAAATATGACTTAGGGCTTCCCAAGAGAGCTGCACTGGGATTCCAGGACGGGGTTATCGAGTGGTTCAGCCCAGTGGACGAACCAAGCTCCTTGTCAAAGGCCATTGTGCAGTTCTCTTTTCCTGATGCGCATCCTTTCCCTAGTGTTCACCAAATTTGCTTTACAGTTTTAAGTCTCTAGGCAATCCCACTCTGGGGAAAGACTTACAAAGCTACCTATCTTGGGGAATCGTAGAGAGCCACCCGCTTTCCTTCTCACCCTCTTTCTAGGATCCCTTGTCCCCAGTTCTAAACCTCAGCCTCCTGCTTCATGAGCAGGACCATTGAAGCTGACGGTTCTGGCAGTCCCCACAGTTAGACAAGGACTCAAGCAAAGGAGGAGAAGTGGGAGAGGAGAAGCAGCCGGGAGGAGCAGGGATACATCCAAGGCCCTTGTGTATCATCCCAAACTTCCCTGCTGACCCATCTCCCTGTATTCATGCCTCTTAGCACTTTTGTGACTTTGCCATCATGTTTATTTTAACCTAATTTGTATTAATCTACAGGAGAGGAACGTATCACACACGCTTTGTCCCCGCCCTAAGCCCTGCCTAGCAGGTGTGTTATACTCCCCATAACAGGGTATACTCACATACGCAGGAAGTCCTTTCAAGCTTATCTGAGTTGGTCTCATCTTTATCAAGAGAGAAGGATGCATCCTCCTAAAGGGGGACTGACAGCTCCTGACCCTGATTCTCTACCACAGCTAAGTGTGTCCAGGCCAATTCCCATGGAACCTGGTGCAGGCATGACCTCTGGCAAGAGCGGTCACAGTGGACGACAGATCTGGGCCTCTAGAAGTGACTGGCATCACCTCGTGTCTAATCTTCCCTTCCTTGGGACGTTTTACTCTGTTTCTCTTAGAGCTTCCAAGGAATGCAGGACAGAAACGTCCACATGTAAAGACGTGTGCATTTAATGCCCAGGGACCTACCATGGGCCCAGCCCTGGGTATCTTCCTAGCTGGTTCATAGCCTTTTGGTTACTCCTTAAATTCCGCCAGAGCTGCCCACTTGAGGAAGAGGAGCAGGTAGCCACCCCCTCCTTTGCAGATGATACAGACTGTGCGTCTCTCCGTCCAGTATTTTATCAGGCAGCAGCTGGAACCTGGCACGAACACACAGGGTTAGAAATGGCGTAGGGTAGGCCGGGCGCAGTGACTCACGCCTGTAATCCCAGCACTTTGGGAGGCTGAGGCAGGCCGATCACAAGGTCAGGAGATCCAGACCATCCTGGCTAACACGGTGAAACCCCGCCTCTACTAAAAATATAAAAATTAGCCGGGTGTGGTGGCAGGCGCCTGTAGTTCCAGCTACTCAGGAGGCCGAGGCAGGAGAGTGGTGTGAACCCAGGAGGCGGAGCTTGCAGACAGCCGAGACTGCGCCACTGCATTCTAGCCTGGGTGACAGAGCGAGACTCCATCTCGACGAAAAAGAAAAAAAAAGATAATGGCATAGTGTAGGGTGGACAGGAGGAAAGGCAGGCCCTGCATCTGAGCTGTACCTCCTACTGTCTCCAACACCTAAAACATCCCAGTCTGTTCATCTACACAATGAGCAGAATATCCATTTTGAGACTGGGAAGAGTGGAGATAAGGTCAGTATGAATATAGAAATAAGGTATAGATATCCTGCTTGAAACCTTCCAAATGCCTGTTTCACTTAGAAAAAATTCTAAACTCCTGTCCATGGCCTATAGTGCTGGATGCACTCTGGCCCTGCCTGGCTCCTGAGTCTTGTCTCCCTCACTCTTCCCCTCTCACCATCCTCCAGGGAACAATCTCCTTCGGCTCTGCAGACGCTCCAAGCTTGTTCCCAGTCTGTGTTTGCACTTGCTTCTCCCTGCACCCAGCATCCTCTCACGTGGCCCAGGCCTCCATGAGGCTGTCTCTGACCACGCAGTCCACGGGAGCACGCCCAGACACTCTCTCACCACTGCCTTTTACTTTCTGTCAGTTGACACCAGCTGACATGATCTCATTCGCTTACTGACGTGTGAGGGCAGGAAATGTGTCTGTCTCGCTTATCACCAACTCTCCAGCTCTTACTGCCTAGGACAGGGTGTGTGCTGGAATATGTGATGGGGGAGTGAATGCACGCTAAGTCTAGACGATGCCCGGAGCGGGCTATAGACCCACTCATGTGAACTTCCGCTCACCCCCGCCCCAGAATCTTCCCAGGCCCAGATCTCCCTTTTCTCTGACTGTTCCCACTCCCCAGCCAGCAGGCCATGTTTTAGGGCTGGACCCAGCACCATCTGGAATTGAAACTCCTGATTAGGCCTCCTCACATGTGAAACTGGGCTGCAGCCCCACCCCCGGGGAGAGTGGCCCTCACTTTCTTTGGTGACACAAAGCTGCTCCTACCCAGGGAGAGCCTGATGGAGTTCAGTGTCCACTTAGGGTCCAGTCGTGCCACCCTGGGTACTGGGGCCGGTCACCCTCCTCCTGGGTAAGGCAGGAATCAGGCTGGGGTGGGGACAGTGTTCTGTTACTCTTGAACATGTGCTTTGAGAGAAGCAGCATAAATAAACAGACACAGCCAAGGGAAAGGTGTATATTTAAAATTCCTCCCCTTCATTTTCTTCTTCAAACGAATCAGTCCCCACTTCTTCATAATCCTTCTCCAGGGCAGCTAAGTCTTCCCTGGCCTCAGAAAATTCTCCTTCTTCCATTCCCTCTCCGACATACCAATGCACAAAGGCCCGCTTGGCGTACATGAGGTCAAACTTGTGGTCGAGGCGGGCCCAGGCCTCCGCAATGGCCGTGGTGTTGCTGAGCATGCAGACGGCCCGCTGCACCTTGGCCAGGTCTCCCCCAGGCACCACAGTCGGGGGCTGGTAGTTGATGCCCACCTGAGGGACAGAGAAAGAGGAGGAGCCACAGAAGAAGATTCAAGTCAGTCAGAGGATAACTCAGGATGGGGCATCTTGGTCACCTGGCATGGCTTCAAGTCACGGTCATGGGCGTGGGAGTGGGTCTGTGGGATGCAGCAGGCGGGATGGGACTGGGGAAGCCAGCAGGTGGTGAGGGAGGAGCTGAAGAGAAAGTGAAAGCAGGCGGGGCAACAGAGCACAAACCCATCTCTACAAAAAAAAAAATTAGCCAGGCATGGTGGCCACGCCTACTAGTCCCAGGTACTCAGGGAGGCTGAGGTGGGAGGAACACTTGAGCCCATGAGGTCAAGGCTACAGTGGGCTACAGTGGTACCACTGTACTCTAGTAGCAGGGACAGAGTGAGACCCTGTCTCTCTTTTTTTTTTTTTGAGACGGAGTCTCGCCCTGTTGCCCAGGCTGGAGTGCAGTGGCACAGTCTTGGCTCACTGCAAGCTCCGCCTCCCAGGTTCACGCCATTCTCCTGCCTCAGTCTCCCGAGTAACTGGGACTACAGGCGCCCGCCACCATGCCTGGCTAATTTTTTGTAGTTTTAGTAGAGATGGGGTTTCACCGTGTTGTCCAGGATGGTCTCGATCTCCTGACCTCATGATCCGCCCGTCTCGGCCTCCCAAAGTGCTGGGATTACAGGCATGAGCCACTGCGCCCGGCCAACCCTGTCTCTTAAAAAACAAACAAACAAGGCCGGGCGTGGTGGCTAAAGCCTGTAATCCCAGCACTTTGGGAGGCCAAGACGGGCGGATCACAAAGTCAGCAGATCAAGACCATCCTGGCTAACCCAGTGAAACCCCGTCTCTACTAAAAAATACAAAAAACTAGCCGGGCGAGGTGGCGGGCGCCTGTAGTCCCAGCTACTCGGGAGGCTGAGGCAGGAGAATGGCGTAAACCCGGGAGGCGGAGCTTGCAGTGAGCTGAGATCCGGCCACTGCACTCCAGCCTGGGCGACAGAGCGAGACTCCATCTCAAAAAACAAACAAACAAACAAACAAACAAAAAGTAGGTGGGGAAGGGCTGGGCAATCAAAGGCTAGAGAAGGAGGACAGGGCTGGTATAGGGGGCTCAGCAAGTAGGCAAATGAGTCACGAGCAACATTAGGAGCGGGTGGGGAGGTGTCTGGTATATGTGTGTGTGTAAGAGGGAAATGCATTCTAGATGCGAAGCTATTCAAAAGTGTACTCTCTCCCAAGTGGTCATCTGAAGCTCCTCTTTAGTTGTGTTGCAAGTAAATTTAAGGAAGTTTCCCTGCCAAGAGTGAAAACTGTTGGAAGAGGTCACAGGGATATTCCAGAGCAGTAAATAAAGAGAGCCGAAAGGCCCTGGGGTGGTGCTGGTGTTAACCAGGCTCTATGTTTTTGGAAATCGGGAGTTCTTAGAAGAAAAGCAGGGACTCCAATCCAAGAAGGTTGTTGAAGGTCTTGCCAAGTTCTGGCAGCATGGCAGGTCTCCCAGGCTCAGCCCAGCCCCGTCTTGCGGTGGCGCCGCTATCCTGGAAATCTCTCTTCTTCCCAACACATGTCCCAAACCAAAGCCAACCCCAGGAACCATGGGAAACTGGGACAAGTCTAACGTGGCAAACCGTGACATTACTTATGGGGACTGAGAACCACAGGGATGTCCTCGGCCACCTCTCCCACTGAGACCACCACATTTTAATTGCCAGTCTCTTAAATCCATAGCTTTAAAATGCACATCCTCCTGAGGGGCTGGGGTGGGAATGGCAGCCAGCTGTGCAGCAACATGGGTAGCCAGCCAGCCACTGGGCCCACAGCAGCCGTCATTCCTCTTAGGCACAGGTGGCATCTTGGAGGCGGAGGTGCTACTGGGAGAGGGGCAAAGTGGGGAAGGGAAAGGCAATGAATATGAACTTGGCCACGTCACATATGTTGCTAGATCTGAACCGACTGCCATAAACCTTGAGCCTGGGCCAGCTTGCCCTCCTCTAAGTGCTAACATCTCTTGACCTGAGTCAAGCGGGGACAAGCACTGCTGGAGAGAATGTAAGATGCAGTTTAGGCTGGGCGCGGTGGCTCAAGCCTGTAATCCCAGCACTTTGGGAGGCCGAGACGGGCGGATCACGAGGTCAGGAGATCGAGACCATCCTGGCTAACCCGGTGAAACCCCGTCTCTACTAAAAAGTACAAAAAACCAGCCGGGCGAGGTGGCGGGCGCTTGTAATCCCAGCTACTCGGGAGGCTGAGGCAGGAGAATGGCGTAAACCTGGGAGGCGGAGCTTGTAGTGAGCTGAGATCTGGCCACTGCACTCCAGCCTGGGCGACAGAGCGAGACTCCGTCTCAAAAAAAAAAAAAAAAAAAAAAAAAGATGCAGTTTAGCAGCATTCACTCCAGGGAACGTACTTTTCTTAGCTTATGCTAATGCTACCATAATGATCCTTCAGGACATAACCCCAGAGCTTCTGCTGGAAGGAGAGAATGAGGGGGCATTTCCTTTTTGTTAATTTCCCCATCACCCGCCATGTCTCTCTCATTCATTCTCTTTTTTTCCCATTCATTCTCCTACTAGCTTGTTGTTTGTTTCCATTTGAAAAAGAAAAAAGAACTTCATGTTTTGGAAGACCTTGACTGGGTTTGCCAGGATGATTAGAACTGCCACAAAAAAAATAAGCATAGTGTTGAGGCAAAATTGTATATGTAGCTAGGAGGATAGCAGTGAAAAGGAATGCCACACTCTTCACTCAGCAGAACAGCCAGGTCAAAGCCTCAGACTCACACAGGGCAGCCATGAGGCCAGCAGGCAGCTGGTGCCTCACACTTGTAACTCCTGCCAGGAAGAACTGAGGCATGTTCATCTCTTCACCTCCAGCAACGGAGACAAATCCTGACACATAATAGGTACCCGTAAAACCTCTGAATGGGCCGGGCGCGGTGGCTCAAGCCTGTAATCCCAGCACTTTGGGAGGCCGAGATGGGCGGATCACGAGGTCAGGAGATCGAGACCATCCTGGCTAACACGGTGAAACCCCGTCTCTACTAAAAAATACAAAAAACTAGCCGGGCGAGGTGGCGGGCGCCTGTAGTCCCAGCTACTCGGGAGGCTGAGGCAGGAGAATGGCGTAAACCCGGGAGGCGGAGCTTGCAGTGAGCCGAGATCGCGCCACTGCACTCCAGCCTGGGTGACAGAGCCAGACTCCGTCTCAAAAAAAAAAAAAAAAAAAAAAAAAAAAAAAAAACCTCTGAATGATTGAAAGCATGACTAGGGGCCGGGCTTGGTGGCTCATGCCTGTAATCCCAGTGCTTTGGGAGGCCGAGGTGGGTGGATCACCTGAGGTCAGGAGTTTGAGACCAGCCTGGCCAATATGGTGAAACCCCATCTCTACTAAAAATACAAAAATTAGCCAGGCATGGTGGTGCACACCAGTAATCCCAGCTACTTGGGAGGCAAAGGCAAGAGAATCACTTGAACCCAGGAGGCGGAGGTTGTAGTGAGGCAAGATCGCACCACTGCACTCCAGCCCGGGCAACAGAGCAAGACTCCGTCTCAGGGGAAAAGAATTTTAAAAAATAAAATAAAAAGAGAGAGCACGACTAGAGGACACTAGTTAAAGGGAATGTGGTAGCTGTTATGATGGCAGAATCTGACAAAAGACCATGAGGGGAGTGGCTGAGCTGTTCACATGCACAGCCAGGCTGCATGCCTGCCGGTCCAGCTCAGAGGGTTGACTTCAACCATTCGGCATTCCTGGTCCTGGGGCCCCAGGGCCTACCCTCGCTATTTCGTATCTCCCCACTGACTCTCTGAGCCTGGCATTTTCCAGACTGCGGGCACTTGGTCAACCACCAGTCACGCAGCTTGCTGGTTTTTGCTTATTCCTGGTTAATGGCAATGGAAAATAGCAATCATAGAATAACTATAAAAGTATCTTATTACTCCAAATTGATTGAGATGTGCAGGATAGATATTTACATTTTCAAAATAAATTGGGAGAGCACATCTTTGTGTGAGAGGGAGGCATCATACTCCTCTAGCAACTGGAATAATTTGGTTAACTCTAAAATTAAAATGGCCACAAAATCATGCTGTACAAGGAAGCGTAAAATATCCATGAAAACTAACTTTAAGTTGGAGGCCGGGTGCGGTGGCTCACGCCTGTAATCTCAGCACTTTGGGAGGCCAAGATGGGTGGATCACAGGGTCAAGAGATCAAGACCATCCTGGCTAACATGGTGAAACCCCCCTCTCTACCAAAAATACAAAAATTGGCCGGGCGCGGTGGCTCAAGCCTGTAATCCCAGCACTTTGGGAGGCCGAGATGGGCGGATCACGAGGTCAGGAAATCGAGACCATCCTGGCTAACACGGTGAAACCCCGTCTCTACTAAAAAAAATACAAAAAACTAGCCGGGCGTGGTGGCGGGTGCCTGTAGTCTCAGCTACTCAGGAGGCTGAGGCGGGAGAATGGCGTAAACGCGGGAGGCGGAGCTTGCAGTGAGCTGAGATCCGGCCACTGCACTCCAGCCTGGGTGACAGAGTGAGACTCCATCTCAAAAAAAAAAAAAATACAAAAATTAGGCGGGGTGGGGATGGGTGCCTGTAGTCCCAGCTACTCGGGAGGCTGAGGCAGGAGAATGGCATGGACCCGGGAGGCAGGGCTTGCAGTGAGCCGAGATCGTGCCACTGCACTCCAGCCTGGGTGACAGAGAGAGATTCTGTCTCACAAAAAAAAAAAAAAAAAAAAAAAAAGGCCAGGAGCGGTGGCTTATGCCTGTAATCCCAGCACTTCGGGAGGCCAAGGCAGGCAGATCACGAGGTCAGGAGATCGAGACCATCCTGGCTAACATGGTGAAACCCTGTCTCTACTAAAAATACAAAAAAATTGGCCGGGCGTGGTGGCTCAAGCCTGTAATCCCAGCACTTTGGGAGGCCAAGACGGGCGGATCACGAGGTCAGCAGATCGAGACCATCCTGGCTAACACGGTGAAACCCCGTCTCTACTAAAAAAATACAAAAAACTAGCTGGGCGAGGTGGCGGGCGCCTGTAGTCCCAGCTACTCGGGAGGCTGAGGCCGGAGAATGGCGTGAACCCGGGAGGCGGAGCTTGCAGTGAGCTGAGATCTGGCCACTGCATTCCAGCCTGGGTGACAGAGCAAGACTCCGTCTCAAAAAAAAAAAAAAAAAAAAAAAAATTAGCCGGGTGTGGTGGCCAGCGCCTGTAGTCCCAGCTACTCGGGAGGCTGAGGCAGGAGAATGACGTGAACCCAGGAGGCAGAGCTTGCAGTGAGCCGAGATCGCGCCACTGCACTCCAGCTTGGGTGACAGAGCAAGACTCACAAAAATAAAAATAAAAAATAAATAATAAATAAAGGCCAGGAGCAGTGGCTCACGCCTGTAATCCCAGCACTTTGGGAGGCCTAGGCAGGTGGATCATGAGGTCAGGAGATCGAGATCATCCTGGGTAACACGGTGAAACCCTGTCTCTACTAAAAATACAAAAAATTAGCCAGGCGTGGAGGCGGGCGCCTGTATTCCCAGCTGCTTGGGAGGCTGAGGCAGGAGAATGGCGTGAACCTGGGAGGCGGAGCTTGCAATGAGCCGAGATTGTGCCACTGCACTCCAGCCTGGGCGACAGAGTGAGACTCCGTCTCAAAAAAAAAAAAAACAAATAACTAACATTAGGCAAATTGAATTAAATCATGAACACCAAAAGCATGGCCCTTCAGGTCAGTAGATTCCGGCCAATACCAAATCATTACTTGTTGCTCAGTAAACAAAACCAAAGGTGATTAACCAATTAACCAATTTAAAATAGCACCAAACTTTTCTAAAATGGCCGAAACAGACAAAACTTTAACAGCATTTGTGTCCCAACCAAAGCTGAATTCCACTCATGTTACATTTGGTTGAAGTGCCCCTCCCCTTATCATCACATAAAGCCTGAAGCACCCATGGAATTGCGTATCTTTGGTAATCTCCCTCTGCTTCTCTGGTCCTCTCCCCCCTTCCTAAGTCATCAGCTCTCACCTTGAAGCCTGTGGGACACCAGTCTACAAACTGGATGGTCCTCTTGGTCTTGATGGCAGCAATAGCAACGTTCACATCCTTGGGCACCACGTCGCCCCGGTAGAGCATGCAGCAGGCCATGTACTTGCCATGTCTCGGGTCGCACTTCACCATCTGGCTGTTGGGCTCAAAGCAGGAGCTGGTGATCTCGGCCACGGAGAGCTGTTCGTGATAGGCTTTCTCGGCAGAGATGATGGGCGCGTAGGTGACCAGCGGGAAGTGGATGCGGGGATAGGGTACCAGGTTGGTCTGGAACTCAGTGAGGTCCACATTGAGGGCCCCGTCAAAGCGGAGAGAGGCAGTGATTGAGGACACAATCTGACTGATGAGGCGGTTGAGGTTGGTATAGGTAGGGCGCTCGATGTCGAGGTTCCTGCGGCAGATGTCATAGATGGCTTCGTTGTCCACCATGAAAGCACAATCTGAATGTTCCAGCGTGGTGTGGGTGGTCAGGATGGAGTTGTAGGGCTCCACCACTGCAGTAGAGACCTGGGGGGCTGGGTAGATGGCAAACTCCAGCTTGGATTTCTTGCCATAATCCAGGGAGAGGCGTTCCATCAGCAGAGAAGTGAAGCCGGAGCCAGTGCCTCCACCAAAACTGTGGAAAATCAGGAAACCCTGCAGGCCAGAGCAAGCATCTGTCTGGGGAGAGCAGGACAGGAGAAGAAATCATGAAGACAAGTTTCTGAGAACACCCCACAGTGAAAAACGCCAGACCACCGACTCTGTCTGCCCCATCCCACCTCTCTACAGTGTTTTGTGGATGAAATCAAAACAGCTATGAAGAAGTAAGGAAATAAAAGGAGTTGTACTGATCTTTGGAGGAGTGGCTAAAATATGGGATGGGGCCAGGCACAGTGACTCAATGCCTGTCTGAGTCAGGAGGCTCCATTGAGGCCGAGGATCCATTGAGGCCAAGGATCCACTGGCCTTGGGAAGCTGAGGCAGGAGGATCCATTGAGGCCAGGAGTTCCCAACCAGCCCGGGCAACATAGTAAGATCTACAAAAAATTGTAAAAATGAACTGGGCATGGTGGCGCACACCTGTAGTCCCAGTTACTTGGGATGCTGAGGGAGGGGGATCACTTGAGCCCAGGAGCTCACAGCTGCAGAAATCTATGATCACACCACTGCACTCTGGCCTGGATGACAGAGCAAGACTCTGTCTCTATTTTTGTTTTAATAGGATGGCAAGCTGCAGGGGCACACGCCTCTAGGTACATGAAGGTTTCAGCCCACTAGCTTGGTTGAACAGGGAATGAGAGTTTCAGAACCACAGTGGATGGTGACTTTGCCCTTTGGGGGCCCCAACTCCTTGCCCACTCTCCCTGCTATTGTCATTTGATTTTGTGGGAACTGCTACCTACAGACTTCAACCTAACCTTGGAAGGTGACTCAGGGCACCAATTTCAGAAAGGTACATGGAGCCGGAAAGCCTGAGTTCTAACATCAACTTTGCCATTTCTTGGTTGTAAGAACTTGAGCAAGTTACTGAACCTCTCCAAACTTCTGTTCCTTCTTTTTTATTTTGAGACAGTGTCTCGCTCTGTCGCCAGGCTGGAGTGCAGTGGTGCAATCTTGGTTCACTGCAACCTCCGCCTTCTGGATTCAAGCAATTCTCCTGCCTCAGCCTCCTGAGTAGCTGTGACTACAGGCGCCTGCCACCATGCCCAGCTAATTTTTTGTATTTTTAGTAGAGATGGGGTTTCACCATGTTGGCCAGGATGGTCTCCATTTCTTGACCTCGTGATCCGCCCCCCTTAGCCTTCCAAAGTGCTGGGATTACAGGTATGCGCCACTGTGCCCGGCCACTTCTCTTCCTTCTTAGTGAAAATAGGGACAATAGAAAATCCTCATAAGGTTATTGTGACAATTAAATGAAATAGCATAACATGCTGAGCAAGGACTGATGCGTTGTAGGCACGGATGTCAGCTCTTATCAGAGAATTCACAGAATCACAGGATTTTCCCACTGGGTGTGATTTGAACTTTTGGGGACCACAGACAGCTTTGAGGCCAATGACCTGACAAGCCCTCCTCTAAACAGAAAAAGTGAACATATGCAAAAATTTGGCACCCAGCCGGGTGCGGTGGCTCAAGTCTGTAATCCCAGCACTTTGGGAGGCCGAGACGGGCGGATCACGAGGTCAGGAGATTGAGACCATCCTGGCGAACACAGTGAAACCCTGTCTCTACTAAAAAAATACAAAAAACTAGCTGGGCGAGGTGACAGGCGCCTGTAGTCCCAGCTACTCGGGAGGCTGAGGCAGGAGAATGGTGTAAACCCGGGAGGCGGAGCTTGCAGTGAGCTGAGATCTGGCCACTGCACTCCAGCCTGGGCGATAGAGCGAGACTCCGACTCCAAAAAAAAAAAATTGGCACCCTTAGCTCCCAGGCAAAGAACATGTGATCAGGTCCAAGCTTTTCCACTTACAGATAAGCAAATGGAAGCTTAAAGAAAGAAAGTGACACAACCTACAACTCAGAGCTTTATAGTCCAACCAACTGAGTTCAAGCCCCAACTCTGCCACTTTTTAGCTGTGTGACCCAGGCTAAGATATTGAACCACCCCGGCCCTCACTTTCTTCATCTATAAAGTACAGAAGGAGACCTCCTAAGTATAATTAGTAAGGATTAAATGAAGGAATGTACTTGACATTTGTAATGGCATTTGTAAGTGCCCAAATGGATCAGCAATCTCTTCCTCTTCTCTTCCAAGTTAAATGCTTTGTTAACCTGTGTTTCCAACCAGCAGAGACCTCATCCTGCCTTACACGCGGAAGCTTCCCCAGATACTACCAGAGAGTATCAATGAGTAGGGCCTCAGCCTGGAACACAGTCTATGATGCCAACACAGAGGAAGGGGCATCATCCCTTTGCGTGCTTCCTACAGAATTTAAGCAGAAATTCCCAAACCTTAGGAGCTCCATCCTATAGCCGGGGGTCACATGCCTCTCCCCAGCCTCATCAAAGAGGCATGGGGCCAATTGTGTCCACTCCAGCCTGGCCCACCCATCCCCTGCCCTCCTGACTCTTACCAGCTTCCGTATGCGGTCCAGCACCAGGTCAATGCTCTCTTTGCCCACCGTGTAGTGGCCCCGGGCATAATTGTTGGCTGCATCCTCCTTTCCTGTGATGAGCTGCTCTGGATGGAAGAGCTGGCGGTAGGTTCCTGCCCGAACCTCATCTTCCAAGAGAGGAAGACCGTTAGGTCCTACTGCCCAGGGGAGAAGCCCCCCTCCCTATCACACTACCGCAGGACCCCCTTCCGGTCTCCCCTACCTATAAAACTCCACGGAGGTTTTAAGCCAGACCACATCATAATGAATCCGCAAAAGGCTACGAGAATTCCTGGGGAGCTCAGGGACCAACAGAGCCAAGGCCTGTGGCTCATGTGGGTGGTGAGAAGCAGGCTGCCCTGCTGGCTGGAACCCTAAAAAGCCTGAGCTTTACAAAGCTCATCCAACACTGCCGGCGCAGTGGCTTACGCCTGCAATCCTAACACTTTGGGAGGCCAAGGTGGGCGGATTGCCTGAGCTTAGGAGTTCGAGACCAGCCTGGGCAAGATGGTGAAACCCCATCTCTACTAAAATACAAAAAATTAGCCGGGTGTGGCGGCGTGCGCTTGTACTCCCAGCTACTCGGGAGGCTGAGGCAGGAGAATCGCTTGAACCTGGGAGGCAGAAGCTGAGGTGATCCGAGATCTTGTACTGCACTCCAGCCTGGGCAACAAGACAGAGCAAGACTCCATCTCCAAAATAAAAACCCACAACGACAAAACTTGGGCCGGCCGGGCACCATGGCTCACGCCTGTAATCCCAGCATTTTGGGAGGCCAAAGCAGGCAGATCACGAGGTCAGGAGATCGAGAACATGTTGGCTAACACGGTGAAACCCCATCTCTACTAAAAATACAAAAAATTAGCCGGGCGAGGTGGCAGGCGCCTGTAGTCCCAGCTACTCGGGAGGCTGAGGCAGGAGAATGGCGTGAACCCGGGAGGCGGAGCTTGCAGTGAGCCGAGATCCGGCCACTGCCCTCCAGCCTGGGCGACAGAGCGAGACTCCGTCTCAAAAAAACAAAACAAAACAAAACAAAAAAAGCAAAATACCAAAAAACAAAAAACAAAGCGCATCGAACACCAATGCCAGCTGCCTCTCCTCCCTTCCACCTTGACCCTCAAGGTTTCCCTTTCGTTTTTCCTTTCATGTTGCAAGGTGTACCAAGAGTTTAACTTAAGTCCATTTGCATTAACATGTTCTAGGGACATGGAGAAAGATTCAGGATGATCTGCCCAGAACCTAGACCCTCCCAAGAGTTGTCCCACCCCTCAACTCCACCTCGTGGTGGCAATAATACATGCCAGGCATTAGACATATTTTAGAATAATGTGAAGCAAAGCTATGTTCCAGGTCCTAGAGGAGCAAGAGCCCTAGAGAGGCCTTTAAGGGGTCTCTGCTCACTTCCAAGGGTCCACACAAGCAGATCAAGACACATCAGGCCCCAACTATGTCGCCTTTTCTCTTTGGGGTTCCTCTACTGCGTGCAGAAAAGTCATCTGTGCAGTGGCCTGGGAGGTAACCTGCACTTTGTGCATTGGTACAAAGCATCAAGGGGGTGGAGCATCTGCCCTCTGTTGCCCCTAGACATTGGTGTTCAGGCACTATAGTTCACGCCCAGTCCTCTTTGGGGAACTGTCCATGTCTTGCTTGATGAGCGAGGCTTGAAGCTGGGGAAATCCTGATGTTCAACTGAGAGTTGACCCAGGGGTCAGAAATGGGGGAAGTGGCACTATTGGGGGATAGTATGGGAGGTGGAGATCTGCCCAGACACGAGGCAGAATTCCTCTACGTTTCCTAAACCTGAAGGAACCTCATTCCAGAACTCCAGCAGCCCCTGGCTGTGAAGGAATGTGCCCACCGTGATAGGCCCCTTTGTGTGTAAGATGCTCTGAGGTTATACCCACCCCTGAGGGCAGACTCCGAAACCTATACTTAGGGAAACGGGTCACTTAGGGGAGTCTTATAATTCCTACAATTATTTGGGTTTTCTTATCCTTAGTATTTAGTAGCGATGTGACCATTTTGGCACGGCGCCGCAGGTCTCGGGGGTTTGAGTGGGAGGCATTTTGTTCGGCATAGAGTCTTGATCACTGTTATGAGATTCTCCGAGAATGTGGGGACCCCAAGGAGCTGACAGATGTCACGTGGGGTGGGAGGCTCCGGTTGCACCAGCCCCACCTTCCAGCTAGAGAGGCTCCTTCCTTAGCTACTGTGGGTCAATGCCTCTGCGGTTTCACGGTGTTCTCTGTGGAGAGGATCTCCGCCCCCACTCACCCACTACGGTAGGCTCCAGATCTATCATGACGGCCCGGGGCACGTGCTTCCCATTGCCAGTCTCGCTGAAAAAGGTGGTGAAGGAGTCATCATCATTGATCTTGCTGGCTTGAGCATCAAAAGTGCCATCTGCCTGGATGCCGTGTTCCAGGCAGAAGAGCTCCCAGCAGGCATTGCCAATCTGAACTCCTGCTTGGCCCACGTGGACTGATATGCATTCCCGCTGTGGGGAGAGGGAAGCATCGAGGTCAGAGAGTCCAGGCCCCCAGCATGCCTTTGCCCTACACCCCCATAACATTCACCTTGCAGGCCAGCCCGGCCCCAGCCCCGCATTGCCAGCTGGCGTTGAGGCTGCAGGTGCCCCAGCTCTAGAGCAGCTGGACCAGGACTTAGATCCAAAGAAGACACAGCTGTTTTGTGCTTTGCTCTGAAGGTTGCCTCCCAGGGTTAACCTTTTACACCAGGAAAGAAAAACAGAGGGCGGTTGCAAAGATGAAGCAAGGGGCTAATTCCAAACCACAAGACTCCTGCACTGGTGAAGAAGGCCCAAGGAAGAACTGGTGATCATGGCAGAAACTCCTTCAACCTACTCCCATGCAAGCCAGCATTCATAGCCACTCCTGACCCTGACTTTCTGAGCATTGTGCACACATGTGTACATACACGCACACACAGTCTCAGGGTATCACAGAGCGAATGAGCACTCATGAAAGGAACATGCTCTGGAAGTATACGCCATGTCAGTAGTATCATGGTTACCGGTGTAGAAGTAAAGGATTATTTGTTATCCCAAGAGAGGATTGGGAGGGTATAAATTAGGCCCCTCCTGCATGCCAAACAATTGGAAAATCTTTACAGCCCCATAGCCTGCCCCTTACCTATGCCAGGCCAAGTGTCAAGGAAAGCTGACCCCGGAGTGTCCTTAGCTCTGCCTTGCTCTGATGTGAAGCCACAAGTGCCTGATTGGTATTTGTACTAACAGCTTAAGATGGGGAGTGCGCTGACGGGAATGTAAATTGGTTCAGCCACCGTGGAAAACAGCTTGGAGATTTCTCAAAGAACTTAGAACTACCATTTCACTCAGCAATCCTGTTACCGGGTATACATCCAAAAGAAAATCGTCCTACCAAAAAGACACGTGCACTCACACATTCATGACAGCACTCTTCACAACAGCAAAGACACAGAACCAACCAGGTGCCCAGCAACGGTGGGCTGGATACAGAAAATGTGGTACATATACACCATGGAATACTACGCAGCCCCCCAAAAAGAATGAAATCATATCCTTTGCAGCAACATGGATGCAGCTGGAGGTTATTATCCTATGCAAATTAATGCAGGAATAGAAAACCAAATACCACATGTTCTTATAAGTGGGAGCTAAACATGGGGTACTCATGGACAGAAAAATGGCAACAGTAGACATTGGGGACTACTAGAGCGGGGAGGGAAGGAGGGGGCAAGGATTGGAAAACTAACCTTTGGGTACCATGCTCACTACCTGGATGATGGGATTAATTGGACCCCAAACCTTGGCATCATGATATATACCAGTGTAACAAATCTGCACATGTACTCTCTGAATCTAAAGTAAAAGTTGAAATTATTAAAGAAAAAGGGGGGTGGGGAGAGTGTGTGTGTGTGTGTGTGCATGCACGCATAGGGATGATAGACTCATCGTCCCACCCACACCTTGCCCTGGGGAAGCAGTGGCCCACACAAGGTGGCACTGTGCCTGGGGCAGCTGCCTGAGCCCAACAGGAAGCATGTGCCAGGTCTGTGGGTTTCTATTTTTATCTATGACCTGCCCTGGCATTTTCCAGCTCCAGGTAACCCAAGCCAGGGGCAGAGCTTCCAGAGGGCACGGCTGAGCACAGAAGCCAGTAGAGTCCACGTCAAAGTGTGGGGCTCCTGGGGACGTGGAAGAATTTCTGGGCATGGAGAGCAGGGCAGCTGCCTCGAGTAGCATCTTGAGGGGTCAGAGTGTCAGGACCATTGCCCCGTAGTTCAATTTTACAACTGTGCCCCCACCCTAGTCCTGTCTCTGCGCTGGAACTGAGTGACACCTGGTCCTTGCCTTGAGGGAGGATGAGCACGAGGATGAGCACGGGGCAGCCCGACACGGGGTGAAGTCCGACGGGGGACGCAACCTGCTGGATCTCCGTAAGCCTGGTGGCTAGGGAGAGGCTTTACCCACAGAGCGGCCCACGCCCCAGGTTCACACCTGGCCTTCTCAGTTTACTTTCTGTGCTGCATGGCCTGGGCTGAGTTACTGAACCTGTCCTCATCTGAAAAGTATAAGTTAGCCAGAGTTGTTGATGCTGTCTTGCCATTATCATTTTCATTACGGTACTACCTGGTAGCATTTTTCTCCACCGGGAAGCAGCACACATAGAAGGAGCTCCCGGGTCCCTGCTCCTCTCTCCTTTATTGTGGGGTCTAGTCTCTGCCTCCATCTGAGGGTTCAATTCAGACCTAAGGAAAGCAGCGTCTGCATCCAGAAGCCACCAACAACCAGCGAGTTATCCACCCGGACCACGGCGTCACATTCAGCACGTGGCTGTGGCTTCCCAGGGAGGTGTGGAAGCTGAGGGGACACTGGAGAGGCCCGAGGGGGGCCCGGTCCTATATATTATCCTTCTAAGTGACAGTATCCTCTGTGGTCCTAACCCTCTGCCTTCTGGGTCTGTCGCCCCCTCACCACCACCACATCCCGACCACCCTCTAGTCCTGCCTACGGTGCTGCCCGGCCCCCAGCCTGCTCTCACTTCTGGAACATTCTGGGGCTTTCCAGGGAGGATGCAGGGATATTTTAGGAAAATCAAAGATCATGGAAGAAAGAGTCAAGGATTTGGGGAACTGAAAACCACTAGCATGACGACAACGTTTTTAGCCTCTTTTAATGCCCTCTTTAATCTCACACTAATACATATGCCAGTCTTTACAAAATGTCTGTCTCTTTCTCTCTCCCATGCCCCCGTCATGCACACACACACACACACACACCCCTTAGAAAGAGCTATTTCCCTATTGAACTCGCTCGTAAGAATAATGGGAGGCATAAAATAGACTCAGAAATGACTGACAGATTCATAGGTGCTCCCAAAAGCGAAAAGTAGCTACAGCAATCAAGAGAGAAGGAAGGTCCCTGCTAACAGGAACCAGGCTTCTTGGAGAGAGGGAGGCGTCCAGGTCCGGGGTGGGGAGTGTGCTAGATAAGCCTGGAATGTTGCATAGCGCCTGGAGGCACGCAGGCTAACCCAGGCGCTGCCCGAGCACCTGAAGAGGCTCCCGTTGCCTAAGACAGACAACCTGAGCCTCACAAGGAGTGATGGCAGCATTTGAGTGAAGCAGGATGCACAGATGAAAATCTGCAAGTCCTCAAAGAAAACCCCCAGAGAAAAACTCATTTGTCCCTATCCAGACAGTCCCGTTAGTTAGGGAAGGCTCTTTTTCTTTTCTTTTCTTTTTTTTTTTTCTTTGGAGACGGAGTCTCGCTCTGTTGCCCAGGCTGGAGTACAGTGATGCAGTCTTGGCTCACTGCAAGCTCCGACTACCGAATTCACACCATTCTCCTGCCTCAGCCTCCCGAGTAGCTGGGACTACAGGCACCCGCCACCACGCCCGGCTAATTTTTTGTATTTTTAGTAGAGATGAGGTTTCACCGTGTTAGCCAGGATAGAGAAGGCTCTTTTTCTTTAATCGAAGAATGTCTGCTAAGCAATGTGGACCAAATAATAGATTATGCAATATTGCCCTATTTCATCTTCTAATTACGTGATTGATTTGGACAAGAATGCCAGCATCATTAGGTGAAAGACTGATGGGAACCGAATCTTCGTCTAGAGCCAAAGAATCACTGTTACAGTCACAAGGGGGAAAGTAAGTCCCAGGGTCTCCAGCCTAAGACTGCGATCAACCTCAGCATCGCTAATTGTGGGCCACCCCGACTTTGAGGACCTCCTGATGGGACTCAGTGTGACACGCACCACCTGTGAGGACTTCGTCTCAAAAACACTCAGCCTTCATCACTGAGCCCGGTAGATTCACCTTCCACTTCACAGGCAACAGGGATCAGAGGGTTAAGTTTAGTGACATCAGAGAAAACAAAATCAATCCAGAAGGTGGAACATCCTACAGGGCAGCTAGTCCAGGCATTTTTTTTTTTTTTTTTTTAGACGGAGTCTTGCTCTGTCGCCTAGGCTGGAGTGCAGTGGCATGATCTTGGCTCACTGCAAGCTCCGCCTCCCGGGTTTACGCCATTCTCCTGCCTCAGCCTCCCAAGTAGCTGGGACTACAGGCGCCCGCCACCACGCCCGGCTAATTTTTTGTATTTTTAGTAGAGACGGGGTTTCACCGTGTTAGCCAGGATGGTCTCAATCTCCTGACCTCATGATCCGCCCGCCTCAGCCTCCCAAAGTGCTGGGATTACAGGCGTGAGCCACCGTGCCCGGCCCAGCCTTTTCAGCTCATGAGAAATGAAGAGCTGGGAGGGGCTGTTCCGTATCAAAGGAACTAAAGCACCACCACCACACGCATCATGGAGACACTGACTGAATTCTCATTTGAACAAATCAAAATATTTGGGGGACAAATAAATTGATTTGCTTTGTTCAGCGTGTTCATACAATTGTAGTTAAGTATGAAAACATCCTTATTGTTTAGAGTTGCATCCGAAGCATTTAGGGGTAAAATGTCCTGATGTCTATACTTTAAAATCCTTCCCAAACACAGCAGATAACAGATGGAAAAATCATTCTTCTTAAATCTACATAATAGGTATATGGGTGGCACATTACTCTACTTTTCTGAAAGTTTGAAATTTTTCATAGTAAAAAGCAAAAATCATCATAACAAAGGAGACAGAGAAAAAATAGGAGCAGGGACTGCCCTCCCCAGAACCCCCTTACCCTGGGCCATTGCACGCAGTCACTTACTCAAATAATATTGACTACATGCCTACTGTGTCAGGGCTTTGAAGTTCCAGAAAGAAATCACAAGTGAAATTCAAAGTTGCATGAGGCTTCATGGCACTGTGAGGTCCATGCCCAGCCGCAGCACTCTGCAGGCCTCTTGCACCTGCTCCTAGCAGGGACGAGGAGCAGCCCACAGCTCCGGCATCGAGCTCCCAGCTCAGGCACTGAGCTCGACTCCTGCAGCCATGCTGTCTCATCACCCTACCCAGCCTTTGGCCTGGAAGTTCCACAGAGCGGACCCAGT